ACCAACCAATATGACTTTATTAGGAAAGCTTTGAACAAACTAGACCAAATGAAGCAGGGACAGATGTTAGTTTGTGGTGATTTTAATTGTTTGCTGGACCCTAATCTCAACAGATCTGGGAAACACGGTTCCCACCCCCTGATCCCTACCTCTCAGTGTAAAATTGACAGCTCTATTACACTCTGATGGTCTGCATGACTCTTGGCCTTCACTGTAGCCAGCCACTAGAGATTACACATTCTATTCGAACGTTCATGACCAAAACTCACACATTGACATGTGCCTGTTGGACTTAAAAACCCTAGACACATTAGACAAAGTTATTATCGCCCCACTGACTTGGTTGGACAATGCTTCGCTTCTGTCTAGCTTCACTGCATTTCACACATTTAGGGGTCGAGCTGCATGGTTACTCAATGAGTCGCTTAAAGACCACAAAGAGTAAGTGGACGAGGTGAGGAGGGCACTTACCAATCTCTTTATGGAAAACCAATATCTCGATACAACATTCCCACAACATGGCTCACCCACTAGACAGTTATGCAGGGTTTATTGATCAAACAAGGTGCTCAATTAAGACGTACAAGTTCAACTCACTTTTCTCAATGGGATGTATCTCCCCCAGCTCTCTAGCGCCCAGGCTGAGGAACTGGACAGACCTATTACTATGGAAGAGGTCTGTAAGGCCTTAAAGGCGACTCCTAAGCACAAAGCTCAGGGCCCCGACGGCTTTTCTACCTGTTACCTATTCGTCATTCCAGGAACAACTACTCTCACACCTGACAGCTCTATTCAATTCTATACTAGAGACAGGCCATATACCACCTTAAATGCTAGAAGCCACTATAGTCATTATCCCCAAAACCAGGCAAGCCGACTGTTTTATGTGCCAATTATCATCCGATATCTTTATTAAATGCGGACATGAAGCTAAAGTTCTGGCAAACAGGATATGTCACCTGCTTCCTGAGCTTATCTTCCCTGAACAGGCAGGTTTTGTGCCGGGTCGCCAGGTGAAAGATAACACCAGATGAGCGTTAAACATACTGGAACTCATGACAATTGGTAGAACCCAAGGCCTAGCACTCGGCCTAGATGCGGAGAAGGCCTTTGACCAGCTCCACTGGAGCTACATAATGGAAATCCTCGATCACTTTAAATTCCCATAAAAATTTCAGCGTGGCCTTCTTTCCCTGTACTCCTACCCAACAGTTATTGTGATGAAACTTGGCTTCGTCTCTCAACATTTTGCCCTGACCAATTGCACTTTGCAAGGCTTCCCCCTTTCACCACTCATTTTTATTCTAGCACTAGAGCCCCTGAGCCACAAAATTAAATTAGACCATGCCATAACTGGAGTGCCATTCCCAATAGGCCCCCGAAAAATAGCGCTCTTCATGGACAATGTCCTTCTGTTCCTTGTGAAGCCAAAAGGAATCCCTCCCACACCTCCTAAACACTGCTTCACAACTACGGACAGGTGTCTTATTTAAAAACAATGCAGCTACAACAAAAGCACCTACCACACACACACCTCACAGAGCTCGGAGCACTCTACCCCTTTTAATGGAGAAAAGACACACTTACGTATCTAAGAGCACACCTATCACTCTCGAAACACAACCATGGTAAATTGGTGACGAAAACTGAGGCAATGCTGGAGAGCTGGGGGAGTAAAATATCCTCTTGGTTGGGATGAAAAAATGCCACGAAAATGATCATTCTCTCACAGATCCTATTCCTTTTTAGAGCATTGCTGATCAAGGTCCCTAAAACTATTTTAATGCTGTTTCAATGTATGCTGAATGTTCACATATGGAATCGGAAACCACCGAGGGTCTCCCTGGCAAGCATAAGCTTGATTATGGGAGGTGGAGGAGTGGGAGTACCTAATGTCTCCAATTATTATTTAGCCACTATCCTGGCACAGATAGCAAGACTTGTGATGTCCCCACAGACCCCACTATGGCACAGTCTAGAAATGACAACTGGTGCACCGCACTCACTGACGGATCTGATATGGGTCCCCATCCACTCCCAACATCCAATGACCAAACCTACTGACATTACTAAAGTATCTCTTCACACTTGGCTAAATTGGGCCCCCAAACTGGTGACTAAATCCATGACCATGTATGCCTTTTTAAATAGCTCAACATATCAGACGAGTGACTAGGCAATGGACCAGTGAATATGGAGAGGGATTACTATTATATAATTGATAGAAGACAGAGGTATAAAACAATTCCCTAACCTGCAACAAGCTTATCAACTGCCAGGCAGAGAACTTTTCACATACTTATGTGTGAAACATATCATAGAAAGGTCCGGGCTACTCAGAGGTAGCACCTCCAGGTTATGCGCATTTGACACAATGTGTCTGGGACTTCTGACCCTCTCCAAAGCACTGTGCTACCAACGTTTACTAGAGGTGGATAGACCGGCCAAAATGGGCTACATGCTTAAATGGGAAAAGAGAACAATGCAACATTGAGCTGGGCGGATGGCTTTTAGCAATTGTGGAGAGCTATGCACTGCCTAGATCATATAGAGGCGGCATACAAATTATGGATGAGGTGGTACCTCACTCCAGTGATTAGCTTACATGTACCCTGGCACCCAACAAATTTTCGGGGGCGGAGCTGCTAACACATAGGCACTTTAAGCCATATATTCTGGCATTGTCCGGAACTTACTGCCTTTTGGCAACAAATTCAAATCCTAATTAAAAAAAGCACAGGAAAGACCCTACCATTCCTACCGGAGAACTACCTACTCCATATGCTACCCAAAATATTTACTGCATTA